GGTATAGCCTGATATAAAGGAGCATCCACCCACGTGTCTCTGACTGAGGTTTGTATGTATGTAAGCTGCTGTGTCTCCATGGAAACAGATACTGACGTCCTACCTGGTCCCTGGTCGTCATCGTTGGGGAACAAGTCGTCCAGGCTGTCCTTGGACGTGTCTCCTCCTCCACTGCCACCTCCTCCTCCACCGCCCTGGTTCTTCTCCTCTGAGGGCGAGGCGTCGTCGTCCAGCTTCTTGATCTGGTTCATGAACTCCAGGTGCTTCTTCTCCTCCTCCAGCTGGGCCACGCTCTGCTCGCTCCGCTGCAGCTTGTGCTGGGTTCCCGCCAGCTCATCCCTGAGCCACTGGTTCTCCTGACACAGGCGACGCACCTGAGCTCGCAGCTTCTGCTTCTCTGACTCCACGGCGCTCAGGTGGCTGGAGAGGGCGATGATCATCTGAAGAGCAGAACATTGATGAAAAAAAATGACTTTTTTATTTAGCTCAATGTAAACACTGGTCAAAAAGTGGGTATTACCAGAGATATAAAAGTTTTGAGCAAATGTTGAATCAAAAATATAATAATTAACTACTGTTATATATTTTTTTAAATATATAAGAACTTTTTTTGTTAAAAAAGTAGGAAAGTTGTTACACAACATAAGCTAATAAAAACTAAGCTACCCAATACTGTTAAAGTTAGTAAAACCTGCAGTACTCCAGTGCAGTATTTTAGGACAGACTTTTTAAGACACCCGGTCCATGGACTCTCACCTGAGCTTCTCCCAGTCCCAGCTCGATGGCCTCCAGACTCTTCCGCAGCAGACCGGACTTCTCCTGTGCGGCGGGCGGCTGGGCACAGTCCAGCAGGGAGTTGAGGAGCTGGGCGTGTTCGCCCCGCAGCGTCTCCAAACCCTGCATGACGGCCTTGGTGTTGAGGACGATCTCATCCTGGCTCAGTCGCTCCAGGGCCTCTTCACGCGGATACACCATGGTGGACATCGCCTGCTTTCATACACACTGAAAGACAAACAACACAGAGAATGGACACACCTGCTGTTAATGGCTGTGAAGAACGACGACGAAGAGGAGATAAAACCAAGAAATCAGTCCATCTCCTGCTGCTCCTCTTCAGAGTTTAGTTAGATCAAAGTAGGTGAGACCCCGTGTTCACTGTCAAATACATTCACATATATTCTTACAGATATAGATCATTTAGCTTAGCTTGGGCAAATGAAAAGCTAAGCTCAAGTGTCCTTGAGTGTCCTGAAAGGCGCTTTTTAAATAAAATGTATTATTATTATTATTATTATTAAAAGTTAGCCACAGCATAATATTATTATTAATAATGATATTTTTTATATTATGACTTTTTGACGTTATTTTTCTTTGTGGTTTTTTAAAATCCTTTCCCGATGACACTTGGGTATTTTATCTGTTACCATTTGACTTGAGGCCTGAGCTAACAAACCACTTTGATTTGGGACAACAGTGGAATATTAACAGACCTGGACAAAAAGGTCTAATAAGACAAAACCCATTTTTCAAACTGCTTCATTTGCGGACGACAAACAACAAGAGATTTTTCTTCCTCAGTTTTCGTTCTGTCTCTACAGAGGAGTTGGGTTTCTGCTGACTGGGCTTCATTTGTTCTGCTGGTATGAGTTTACATGAGGGCTGCTCAGTGCAGTCGCGTCCTTCTGCTACGGGCTGCCGAGGTCAGCTGGAGGTGGGGGAGACAAAAGGAGGCAGGTGGCAGGGGAGGTGAGGGGGGAGTGAGAGGAATAAATGACTGTCAAAAATAGGCAGAGAAGTAAAAAGATACTTCAGCCAGAAGGTTTCAAAACTAACAAAAGCAAGGTGGGGAGG